AGGGAAAGTGTTGCTCGTATAGGAAATGAGCAGACAAGTCTTACCAACAGCTCCGTCACCGACGGTGACGCACTTTATAAACCTCGAAGCACTCATCTTTCTGGTTCACGCTCCGTCCGCAATGCTTTTCCTCCTCCCTCTTCAGCTATAAACCCTAATTTTCAGTGGGCAGAGGATTCTGTGGAGAGAGAGAAAGCTACAGGACAAAGAGGAAGTAGCCGAAAGTCTCTCGCAGAGTCTCCCAATCCCACATGCGCTGCATTTCTTGGTCTACTTCCTTTCTTTTTTTTTAATGGAAAATTAATTCAATAATGCATTTATTGCTAATTTCAGTTTCTCTTTCTTTTTTCATTAAAAAAAAATACTGATTTATTTTGGTTTCTCATTGTTATTTGTAAGAAAAAAGAAATTATATATATTTAAAATACGTTAGGAAATCAAATTAAAAAAATTGATACGTGATTATTTAATAACAGGCAGATGTTTGAACAAGAAAAATTATTTCAATAAAATCCCAGAAATTATTTCAAATTATTTATACTCATTGTTTGCCCGAAACCAAGAAATATCAACAATACCTCTTAAAGGAAAAAAAAAACCCAAAAAGATATTAAAATATTCAATTAAATATTTTAAAATGGATATTCTATACATGTGAATGTATACGTCAAAACGGACAGAAAGAAAACAAATTGACACAATTATTTTACTATATGATTTTTATATTATTAGTATATGATTGAATCCGCTTGTTTTTTCAAAACTATGGATAGCAGTAGTTTGAGTTTTTCACAAATTTAAAATTAGAAACAAAGAAAGTCAGCACATTTTATTTAAATAAAATAAGAAAGTCACGTCATGAATCTTTTTCTTGAGCAGTTTTTTTTTTGGATATTTCTTTTGCGTACATGAAAAAAAAAACATGGAACCCTCTAATGGGTTCAGAGGTTTTAGCAAAAGTTGATTGAATGTATACCCGCCGAATTAGGAAGGAAAACAGAGCAAAGACCAAGCAAACACACGAACATTCAAAAATAGCCCCAAAAAAGGGAAAAAAGGGAAAAAAAAACAGAGAAATGTTCATAGCCGCGAATTTCTCCAAAGCTTAATGGTTCTCCCGAATCTGTCTCTTATATCATTGGCTTCCCTTCGAACCTGTTATTTGAGCTCTCCTTGTCGATTCTCTTATCCTTCGACAAGGAAGAGATCCAAGGCAGGAGAAGGAAAAACTTATTACAAAAAAGAAAAAAAGAAAAAAAAAAGAAAAAGAAAACAAAGAGAGAATCATGGGAATAAACTCCCCGAATCGGTGGCTTTCATTAGCGCTTCTCGTGATCTGTCTCTCGTCCTCCGGTGTTGTCGCTGCCAAGAAGAAGAAGAACGCTGGCGTCACTTACGATGGAACCTCTCTCATCATCAATGGCAAAAGAGAGCTTCTTTACTCCGGCTCTGTTCACTACCCTCGCAGCACCCCTGATGTATGCACAGTTTGCTCGTTTGATCTGTGAAAAGTCGCAATCTTTCCTGTCTTTTTGTGTTCTTTGATCGGTTTTGCGATCTGGGTTTTTGTTCAGATGTGGCCGAACATCATCAAGAGGGCGAAACAAGGCGGTCTGAACACGATTCAGACATACGTCTTCTGGAACGTCCACGAGCCTGAACAGGGGAAGGTGAGAACAAGGAGAAGATTCAAACACAGTCTGAATCCTCTCGATGTTTGTTAAACATGTTGTCCGATGTAATCTGCGTTGCAGTTCAATTTTTCCGGGAATGCC